CCCCCCCCCTCAACTACCAGCTCGAAAATCTGTGAAACTAAGAACACTCTCAACTGTAGTGAGAGTAAGACAATTGTGGTGTCAGAGACCTGGTTTCATAAAAATCCTGTGGTTTTTTGTGTTTTTTTACGTGACTTTACCACGTACGGTGGCGGAGTAGTAAGTGCACTCGTCTCTGAAGCGGAAAGTCCGGGTTCGAGCCTGGGTTCGGACACGCATTTTTTTCGCCCCTTCCTGCCCACCCAGCAGTAATGGGTACCTGACTTCGAGTTGGGGAAGCAAAGGCGGCGTGGAAAGGAACGGCCACCCTACCACAATATGCCCAAGGCCCAGGGAGTTGTCTTACTTACAATAAGTTACAAGGCACATCCCCAATGTCCGGATCAGATGCGGGAACAACTTTATCTCCAATTGAAGTTGTTATCGATCCATGTTGTTGTTGTTATCGATCCATCTCCTATTGGAGAAGTAAGTTCTTTCTCAGATTCAATAAAATTATTTCTTCCTCATTATTATTATAACTACATTGAAAGGAACTTAAAACTGAATTCATGTACGTCTAATGCAACTTTAACAATGTGATATGTAAATAAATAAAGTCAACACTACACAAAGTTGTAGAATAATCAAAATGTATTTCAGTTCAGAGCAGTGCCGGGAAATCAGAAAAATCAAGATTCCATATTCTTACAGCTCATGACTTTGAAATGCAGTCTCTACATTATGACAAGAATGAAAAATAAAAGCATTGAGAATCATTAGGAACAGACGATTTTCTTGCAGGGCAGTTTTTTTTCCCGTCCTTCTTCTTTCAACATAAATGGTGAGCTCATTAAAATAATTTATGTGAACACAATTAAGTTTGAACAACAAAGTCAATCATACTGGCTATAACACTTCTGCTGTGCCAAGGCAGACAGACTGACGTATATCTGCAAAAATTATTAAATTTGAGCATCTTTGTTTAAATGGACGCTCATACCCATTCTGCATCTTGTGTCAAAGGCAGGAAGACGTATCTGCACTACAAATAGGATATTTCACTATGGCAAACAGACGTAACTGAAGGGCCATGCCCATATTTCCAATGGCAGCGTGACGTAACTCAAAATAATAAAAAGAGCAGGTATGTCGCTCTGCCTTGGCACGGCAGATTTATCATTAACTCTTATTTTCCACCAAGCGATATGAACAGAGGTCGAGTTCTGATGTTTAAAATATAAAACCAGCCTTCAAACTTTTAAGTGTGTCCCGTGCGCTCATATGACCTTATGCAGTTGCGAGCGCCATAAATCACTTTACAAAAACAAACAAAAAACTTATAAAATTTCTTTTCTCAGGTTTTGTAACAGTTATGATGAGAGGGTGGTCAGACATATTATACATGTACCTATTAACAACCAGGACAAATCACACATGTTTTGTCTATGTCTTTTAACCACAAACTAAAGGGATGGCTAAAGACCATTGTCCTAACCTTACTCAGCGTACTTTGTGCTTGCATAGGAGGATCTGAGAGAGAGAAACCATAGCCTTAGATTTGTGGTTACATGTAAGTGAGAGAGAGAAACCATAGCCTTAGATTTGTGGTTACATGTAAGTGAGAGAGAGAAACCATAGCCTTAGATTTGTGGTTACATGTAAGTGAGAGAGAGAAACCATAGCCTTAGATTTGTGGTTACATGTAAGTGAGAGAGAGAAACCATAGCCTTATATTTGTGGTTACACGTAAGTGAGAGAGAGAAACCATAGCCTTAGATTTATGGTTACTTGTAAGTGAGAGAGAGAAACCATAGCCTTATATTTGTGGTTACATGTAAGTGAGAGAGAGACCATAGGTCCATGCAGGCTACATCAGACAGAGAAACCATAGGTTCGTGGCTACATCTGAGAAACCATAGATTTATGGCTACATTTGAGAGAGAAACCTTAGGTCCGTAGCTACATTTGAGAGAGAAATCTTAGGTTTGTGGATACATCTGAGAGAGAAATCTTAGGTTTGTTGTAACACCTGAGAGAGAAATCTAAGGTTCATGGCTACCTCTGCACACCAGATGATGTATCTATCTACAACAGAACGATGTAAACCAAAATGCCAAACAGACAGACACAATGAACTGAGTAAAGTCTATTATGTTATCACTCGTCTAGCACTTGGCGTTTCACACACTCGACAAAATCCTTTTCATGAACAATGGAATGGTGTACCACTTCATGCTCTTGGAAGACGCGCTGAGCCATGTTTTCTTCTTACCTGAGCCATGTTTTTTTTCTTACCAGACATCTGCATTTCAAGGTATGAAGACAGGCTCGGAGTGTGCCAAGTACGTTTCATGGCAACAGCATTTATGATTGTAAATGTTTAACCCTATCCGTACATCGTGTTTTACTATTGTATCCATATGACGTGGGGAACTCTGTGCCACCACTTTCCAAAGAGGAAATTTACTCGTTAATCTGATCCGTACACTTTGCATAGCAGTCAGTCAAAATAATTTTTTGAGAAATGAATACTGAACGTTTCAAAGAATTCTTCGGACTAGAAGTATTCTAAAATGTGAAGAATACAATCCTGGGGGTACAAAAAGACCCCAGGCGTACGGATAGGGTTAAAGCCCCCTTCAGAACAACTTGATTATTTGGCAAGCAGACTGCTTTCCTTCTGTCTGTCTACATCATCCGGAACTGAGTGAGATACAGAATCTCAGCAGCTCATCGAGGGAGACACCCGACAAAAAACTTTCTAAAGTCAGATTCAAATTCAAGTCTTTTTCTGTATGTGACGACGAAGAGCCGAACTTTTAAAGTTTTAGTAAGAGTTTTACGGCACTTGCAACACAATAAGGTCATATAAATGACGAAGATTAGAGGTGTTACAAGAGAGTAACAAACATAAAAAAGGAGGGGAGATAAAGACGATAGATGTTTGATAGGAAAGAAGAAGCAAACCACACCAGAGCACCCGCCAACCATCTACAGAAAATTCGAGGCAAGCTGTGCATTATCACTGGGACTGTAGAAAGGGCACTTACAACAACTTACAGTAACTACTCATACTAATCTGTTGCTGCAAAGTCAGTTAACACCACAAACGATGATAGAACATTTTCAATATATTGTACACATCTGCAATATCGTCAGACATACACCCCAAACAATATAACAATTGGTCGCTTTTAAGCACAAGGGGGTTATCCTGAAAAATGCTGTTTTGAGAAAATCGAAGGTAAAATTTAGCCCCTTGTTCAGTTTCTTTAAAAGACAAGGATAATTTTCTCTATAACCAAACAAATATACACAATACACACCAATGAAACCAAACTTCTCCAATTGGTAGGGCAATGCCCACTTTTGGCGTAGGTCAAGATTTCTGGAAACCCACAAAATAGTGGGTTAGCCCGCTTGTCCTTAAAAGCGACCAATTTCACAATATTGTACGCTTCTGTAATACGAACAAATGTACATCAACTGACATGTGATCATTCTATACTCTCATTGTTGAAACAATTTAGATTCACAGTACTAGATGAACTCTTTAAGCCCTCAGTTTTTCCACCGTTTCCCAGAGTTTTTTCTCCAGTCACCTAAACCTGGTGCACTATGTCTCATTATAACCCCAAAAGCTAAAGGTTTAGTAATTACTAAAAAAAACTTGGTTTGGGAATAGTTCCCAAAAACAAGCAAAAACTACCACTGAATAAAGCAAAACAGTTGTCACTTGTACTGGACGCTCCCAGAGTCCGATGGGGCAAAGGGTTATTACTGCCGTACGCTCCCAGCGTCTCCCAGCATCCGATGGGGGTTCAAAGAGTTAAGAAGCCCACATGAGGCTAGTATACAGCTTCAATAGAAACAACACTTTCAATGATATGCCAAATCTGGCTTCAGATATATGTTTTTAAAATTATAAGCCTTCTCACCAAGAGCCGATTTAGATTGCAATCCACTATCTCTGCCTCTCAATCTCAGTTTTCATTATAAATCAAATGTGATCAAATCAAGAGTCAGAAGGAAGAAAATAGAACAAAAAGAGCTTGCTGGGAAAATAGTGCCTGGACAAAGACCCAAGACTACCAGTTTTGAAAGACGAAACAAAAACCACAGATAATTTATAATTAGAGATGACATTACATCTTTGTATTTTTATTCTCTCATTCAACAAAAATTAAGACTACGGTCTTCTAAAAAAACCCAGTCATTACAGGAACTGGCAGTTGATCATAGATCATCTAAAAACAAGCCGAACAATAATTTTAACAAAAGATCCATGAGCTATCACACACACACAAAAACACACCCAGTGCTGCTTTTTCATTTTTAAAACATTAAAAACAAAACCCAAAGTAAAATAAAACAGCCATCGCTAGGCATGACAACAATTCATCACAGAGTGAGTCCGGGAAACGTCTTAACTCAAGAACTGAGAAACTAAAAGAGCAGCTACCTTGTACCACACACTGCCCGGACAACAATGACTCAAATCTAACAATACTAGTACAGATGGTTAAGCGCATAGAGCTTGCAGTTGAGCGGGGATTTGCGCTATACAAATGCTATCTATCTATTATTATTAAGACTAGTCGTTTAAAGGAATCACAGAAAAACAAAGGCACACATGAGGCATGCAAAGAAAGAAAACTGTCCTACCGAAACAGTTCAAGAAAAGGAACTTAAAATGATTACAGATCTTGTCATTAAATCAGAACAGTTCATTCTGCTAAATTTAGCATTGCCAGTTCTCACCAGGGTCCTTCACAACTTATATCAGGAGAACAAATTCAAATTTCAAACAATTATAAATGGAAAGCGTGCCTCACTTAAAATAGACCTTATATGACAATGCTTACCAAACAACATTTGTCTCTCACAGTGCTCAAATATGTGTTTTACAAGAATTATAAAATTGATCTAATATTACAATGCTTACCAAACAACATATGGCTCTCATATAGTGCTCAAATATGTGTTTTACAAGAATTATAAAATTGATCTAATATTACAATGCTTACCAAACAACATACCAAACAACATATGGCTCTCATATAGTGCTCAAATATGTGTTTTACAAGAATTATAAAATTGATCTAATATTACAATGCTTACCAAACAACATTTGTCTCTCACAGTGCTCAAATATGTGTTTTACAAGAATTATAAAATTGATCCTATATTTCAATGCTTACCAAACAACATATGGCTCTCATATAGTGCTCAAATATGTGTTTTGCAAGAATTATAAAATAGATCCGATATATATGAAAATGCTTACCAATCAACATTTGCCTCTCATAATGCCCAAATATGAGTTTGACACAAAGTAAAAAATTAACAAGACACCTAGTTAACAAGGTGTACCAAGGTGGTGGTGGTGGTATTTATTTCTTCTAAGGGGTGGAGTGGGAGGCAGGGGGGTGAGGTGTGGGGGTTGAGGGTCCGGTATTGAAGGAAAAATAACAACAAGATATATAATGATCAGCCACCATCCTCTGAACATGTACATATGTACAAACACGAAATCCTCGGTGTACGACTCTAAACGTGTGTCCGCCAAATTAGGTCAGGTACTTTTTTTCCATCTCACATTACGTTAATTCACAACCATATTTACAATTGGTTATACTATTACATGTTTTTAAAAAAACAACAACAAAAAAACACTTGGAACTATATTTTGAGCAATCTTGGTGGATAAAAATAACCCAACCCAAAAAATAATTACAAAACTAAGTTTCCCCCCCTCTTTTATGAAAATCAATGCTCACGCGCATACACGTTTTGAGTCGGACATCGATGATACATTTGCGGATGTGTTAATTTTCACATTTCCAAAACTAATTATTTCCCAAGATGTCCATGTCAGCTGAGTTCCAGATCCTCAATTTCACTTAATATGGAGTCCAGGGTCTTGATTTTTTCCAACTGCAAAACAAGAAAGGTTGTCAGCATGAACAAGTTATAGAATGAAAATGATGATCACAAATTCACAAACATGGTGTATTGTGCAAAACACGGCTGAAAGAGGTTACCCCCATAAAAGAGACAACCAAGACATTTTTTATGGGAAAAAGTGTTGCTCTCGAGTTGCTGCAACAGTCTGGTCCACTATGGCCACATTTTGTCAGGAAGGAGTTTGGAACCAGTAACAATGGAAAGAAATAGACGTAGCAGGTCAGCATCCAGTGTTTTCATGTACATGAACACACTGAAAGCAATAATCAGTCAACACTTAAATTCATATCAATACTGAGAGCTGCACCACTGACCAAATGCCTGTGACTCAATTTTAAAAAATTAAAATTTAGTAGAGGTTTTACGGCGCTCGCAACCGCATAAGGTCATATGAGCGCCAGAAGATTACAGGTGTTACAAGAGAGTAACAAACATAAAAAAGAAGAAGGGGAGAAAAGGACGATAGATGTTAGATAGGACAGAAGAAGCAAACCACAACAGAGCACCCGCCCACCACCCAGGGTAACTCGATGTACAAATGACATGGATGAGAGTTAGGAAATCAAAACAGACTCACTTGGAAGACAGCGCACACATGCCCTGCCTCGTAAGTGATTTAAATCATGTCAAAGGAAGTGTTGAACATTTACAACCACGTTACATACCTGATTCTTTTCCAACTGTTTTCCTGAAGCTTGCTGCTCCTTCAGATTCTCAATCTGCTGGACTTTCTGAAAGTAAAAAAAATAATACCAAAATCAGTCTCAGTTTAGTTTTAGTAAGAGTTTTATGGCACTTGCAACACAATAATAAGGTCATATAAGTGCCGAAGATTAGAGGTGCTACAAGAGAGTAACAAACAGAAAAAAGAAGGAGGGGAGATGAGGATTACAGATGTTTGATACGAAAGAAGAAGCAAACCACACCAGAGCACCCGCCAACCACCCACGAACAAATAACTATATTTTTTGGTCAAATTTTTAACAATGCTAAAGAGAACATTATTCCCTCCATTGTCAACACCAAATCTGAACCACAGACGGCCTGGATCCTCTCTTTAAGAGAATTATAAGTTCAATCTTTATTTCTCCCCTCCTAGGAAGGTGCAGGGGGAGGGGGACAGGCCCTGACAAATGGTCAAATTTTATATATATATAAATATAAGGGGTGGGTGTGTGCGTTCACCCCCTCTCCCAACTTGTGTTCTAATAAAAATGGAAAACACCTTTAAGAGGGATCTCTTAGTGCAATCTATGGTCGGAAAAAACAAACAACCAACAACAAAAATTTGTTTAAAAAAAACCAACAGGAGACTAACTGTTATATAATGACATAACACCCTTAGCAGTGACAGACAATAAGTTTAGTTTTAGTAAGCGTTTTACGGCACATCCAACACAATAAGGTCATATAAGTGCCGAAGATTAGAGGTGTTAAAAGAGAGTAACAAACACAAAAAAGAAGGAGGAGAGATACGGACGATAGACGTTTGATAGGAAAGAAGAAGCAAACCACACCAGAGCACCCGCCAACCACACTTAGACAATAAATATCTTTCAAACCTGCCATTGGTTCACAAACTATCCAATAACAAAAAAAACAACTTGAGCGTCATGACTAGACAGTAAGAGAAACATCTATCCTACGTATCTGAATTCTAGGTCTTAGTTTTAGTTTAAATAAATTTTTTACGGCACTAACAACACAATTAGGTCATATAAGTGCCGAAAATTAGAGGTGTTACAAGAGAGTAACAAATACAAGAAAAGAAGGAGAGAGAATAGATAAGGATGATAAATATTTGACAGGGAAAGAAGTAGCAGCACACTAGACTAACCTGCCAACCACCCATAAATTCTAGGTATGCAAAAATCAAAGCTGCAGATAATTGAGTTCCAACCTTTTTCAAATTGCGGATCTTCTTGTCTTTGTCCAGGTCGCCTGTGCTGACCACGTTCACCGGGGCCGAGGCAGCGCCCCCTGCGGGAGCCGAGCCAGACTCTGACTCACCGCCGGACTTGGGGTTGCTGGCCTGGGAAAGGAATATATATAAATACTTGTATATATAACGAATAGACATGATATTTTACTTTTAGTAAGAGTTTTTAGTTTTGTTTTAGTAGAGGTTTTACGGTGCTCGCAACTGCATAAGGTCATATGAGCACCAAGGGGCGGATGTCAACAGAGAAGTCCACCTCTCTAGTTTCAACAGCACAAAGTCTGCTTCCACTATCAAGGCACCCCGGAAATAGTGGGTCACAAGAGTGTGACAAACATACAAAAGAAGTAGATGAAAAATGACAACAGTAAGGATTAGGAAAGAAAAAGCAGCAGTTCCCTGTTGTAGATCAAGCACAGTTATGAGCGTGACATTGATGAATTAACCTATTTACAATTCTACTGTGCATGAACGAGAAATGTCCCCCTCCCCCCCCCTTTGGGAATGGCCTAAAGATACTTCATTCAGTGGCACCGCACCGGGGGGTGGAGAGTTTTACAGCACTTGCAATACAACAAGGTCATATAAGTGCCGAAGATTAGTAGAGGAGTTGCAAGAGAGTAACAAACATTAAAAAAGAAGGAGGGGAGATAGAGATGATAGATGTATACTATCCCCCCCCTTTGGGAATGGCCTAAAGACACTTCAGTCAGTGGCACCGCACCAGAGGGTGGAGAGTTTTACAGCGCTTGCAATAAAACAAGGTCATATAAGTGCCAAAGATTAGTAGAGGTGTTATAAGAGAGTAACAAACACAAAAAAAAAGAAGGAGGGGAGATAGAGATGATAGATGTATACTATCCCCCCCTTTGGGAATGGCCTAAAGACGCTTCAGTCAGCCGCCCCGCCCCGAGGGGGGTGTTGCTGCATGTGGCAGGCTGTCACCCTCCGGAGGAGGCCAGGCGTAGAAGGAAGAAGAAGAAAAAAAAAAGAAAGTCAAGCAGCTTCACCTCCTGAGCAGCCTTGGCTTTCTTTGCCTCCTTCTTCTTGCGGTTCTTGCTCATGGCTTTGTCCCCGCCCTGAGCCTTGGCGTTGGACGGAGGCTCGTACTCCTGCAGAGGTTTGGTGGCAACAGTCGCAGCGCCCTGGTTCCTGGCGTGGGGGGGACGGTACGCCGCTGCTTTAGCTGGACACACGAAAAGAAGGAAGAAGAAAATATTTGTTTTGTTTGTTTGAGTAAAGAAACCAACATCGACACAATAATGGTCATTAAGTCTTAGTAAAAGTTTTACGGCACTTGCAACAAAATAAGGTCACATAAGTGCCGAAGATTAGAGGTGTTACAAGAGAGTAACAAACAGAAAAAAGAAGGAGGGGAGATAAAGACGATAGATGTTTGATAGGAAAGAAGAAGCAAACCACACCAGAGCACCCGCCAACCACCCACGGACACATGAAAAGAAGGAAGACAAAAATGTTTGTTTGTTTCTTTGAGTAAAGAGACTCACATCGACACAATAATGGTCATTTAGTGCTGAGAAAAAGTAAGACAGAGAGACAGACAGAAACAGCAGAGGGAAAGTAAAGAAGTAGGGCCTACCAGTGGCACCCTCCAACCATCCGCTTAGACGAAAAAGATTGGGTTGTCAAAAAGTCAAGAAAACAAAACACTTGTAATGATATCACCCTTCACCCCTGAAAAAGTCAGGGGGAAGAGTTATTTTGCGCTTCCCCAAAAGAAATAACAAAAATTTCATTGATGATTGTAGATAAAATCTGAAAAGTGCCACCCCATTTTACGTGACTAAAATAGTTTAGCAGAAGAAAAGTAGAACTCTTTCATCCACAGCATTCCCACGCCCATCTGCATGTATTAAATCTTGTTATAAAAGAAACCAAAACAAATCGAACAATTGGTGAAGTTAAAACATTGCAAAACATTTGAAGAGCACAGGGGAAAAACAACTGTAGTCACAAACTGGAAATTGTGAGGGGCGTCAATTTTAAAAGCTTGTGGACTCACAACTTCATATTTGTATGACAGGTGGTTTATTGTTAAGTGTGGTTGAATGGTAAATCTAACAACAATAAACAACCAACAGTTGAACAGAAATACGCTTATGAGTCAACAAGCGTTCAAAATTGGTACCCTCATGATTTTCAGTTTGTGACTTTACAGTCGTTTTTTCCCTGTAGTCTTCATTTGTCACGGATGCTACTCAACTTTTTAAAAAATAGCTGAAAATCCATGCGCCACGGTCTCGCTAACATATGAATATCAATTTGAAACCCAAAGGGTGCTGAGATTAGCGTAAATCTTCCGGAGTTCTCTTCTCCCCGTTATTTGAACTTATGGTGAAGTCTTCGTTTTTTCGTTATTTGAACATTTGGCGCAAGTTGTTTAGTGTGAGTGTGTGTGGATTATTTTTTCTTTCCAACTATAGATTCTATCTCGATCTCACGCAAGTTGTTTTGAGTGAGTGTGTGTGGATTATTTTTTCTTTCCAACTATAGATTCTATCTTGATCTCGCGCAAGTTGTTTTGTGTGAGTGTGTGGATTATTTTTTCTTTTCAACTATAGATTCTATCTCAATCTCAGTAACAGAATAGCGAATCAGGATCAAAATACCGGAAATACCGGAAAAAAGCGGAAAAGTGGCATCCCTGATTTGTTCACCTTTGGGCTGTTCAACCACTTCTGTGGCCACCGGACGGCTGCTGATGGAGAAGTCGGCGGGCGGTGGAGCCGAGGGTCGCCACTTGGCCTGCCACAGCTCGGCGTGGTCGGTGGTGAACGTCTGCAGCATTAGAGTGCCCGTGTAGTGCCAGATGCGATAGCTGCAACAGTACAATAGAGGGAATGTAAAAAAAAAGGGCCTATCTCGTCTCCAGAGTTGAGCATGCTTTTCATTTTAGTGAGAGGTTTAAAGAACATGCAACACAATTACGTCATTCAGTTTTAGTTTAAGTAAGAGTTTTACGGCACTTGCAACACAATAAGGTCATATAAGTGCCGAAGATTAGAGGTGTTACAAGAGAGTAACAAACACAAACAAGGAGGTGAGATAAAGATGATAGACGTTTGATAGGAAAGAAGAAACAAACCACACCAGAGCAACCGCCAACCACCCACTAGGTCATTCAAGAGTTGAAGATTTGGTGTGTTTAGTAAGCATTTTACTGCACTTGCAACACAATTAGGTCATACAAGAGCCAAAGATTAAAAGCGTCACAAGAAAGTAACTAACACCCCCCCCCCCCCCCCCCCAAAAAAAAAACCCCCAACAACAAACCAACAAACAAAAAAACCCACAGAAGAGATAATGACAATAGATGTTTGAAAAGAAAGAAGAGAAGAAGAAACAAACCACGTCAGAGCATCCCCCCCCCCAACAACCTAACATTCATTCAATGAAATTCCCAACTGTCTCCAAATGTTATGTATTGAAATCTGAAAACACCACGACTGACCCATTGCCCACCCGCAGGCGTGGAGCGGTGGTCGAGGTCAGCATGTGCTGGCCGTCAGGTGACCACTCAAAGTGGGTGGTGTCTGCCGCCTGGGTCTTGCTGATCTGTCGCCGCTGCTTCACGTCCCAGAACTCCAGGTTCCCGGCCAGATTGCCAAAGCCAGCCAGGCACAGGAGTGGGTATCAGTCAAGGGCAAACATGTCATGTTGATCAGCACACGCAAAGTGTTATTATTTATTTTTTAAAATTTAGTAGAGGTTTTACGGCACTCGCAACTGCATAAGGTCATATGAGGGCCAAGGAGTGGATGTCAATAGAGAAGTCTTTACACACGCAAAGTGAAAACAGAAAAGGCACCTACATTTTTGAAAAACATTGTTTTTTGTCCCATTTTTTTACATGTTTTTTCAGAACAAGCATAAGTTTATCTGTCAACTCTCTATAATATTGAAGTACTCGGTACAAAGATTAAGTATTTCCTATAAAAAAATAAAAAAAGAAGCAAATTCAGCTTAATGGTTAAGAATTTATAAATGTAGAGTATTTCACGACCAGGAATCTCAAAAATAGGAAGGGTTAACAGTTTCAATTCAGGAGTTTATTATTTATATCAAACCTTCAGGGTCAACTCTCTAATAAAGATCAACAATGACAGCTAGACTTCAAATCAAATAAGTCCCCGTAAATAAGCCTATTCATCTTATCATTCATATAAAACATTCGCATGCAGTTGAAGCTGTCTGAGAGAGTCACCAATAATCATGGAGAAAAGTGGGCTGTCTTACTCAGAGTCGTCATCATGTCAAAAATACCCGGTACTCAAAGGAGGAAATGGAAAGTGGACATTTGTACAGGTGATTGTCTTAACACTTTGCCACCTCATCTCGCCGATTGGTGATGTTTACCACCTGGTTTCTTAGAATTTTCCCCAAAATTCCTTTGCCTTTGATGGCAAAAGTTTTCCCTACATTATGAGCCTTGTGATGGCAAAGTGTTAAACAGGTGGCCGTAAGAGCAGGTTCAACTGTAGTTTAAAATGGACACATGGACACAGGGCACTGTAAAGACCAATCAACTTGCAAGGATATTATTTCCCTGTGGGTTGAAGGCGCACACATTCCTGGGCCCCGTGCCGAAGTCAAAGACGGGCTCACACTTCAGGCTGTAGATTGTCGTCTTGGCAGGCATATCTGGACACAAGATCTGTTAAGGATGGTAGTAAAAACTTTTTCCTTTCAAGATCAAAATATCAATAGAGCAAAGAAACTGCAGGCAGACGTTTCCACAGTTAAAGTTCTGGTTTTTCATTTTCAAACCATCAAATATTTCCCGTCATCTTGATAAATCCTCTCATTTTAAGCCTAAATTCAACACTATTATAACTTTTTCAATCAGACTATTCCACATTGAATGTTCAAATATATATAAAATCAGAATATATAAGTCAATATTACGACCCATAAAGCTTCAGCATCCAAGTTGTCGATATCCTAAAAAAACAAACACACAGTGGAAAGGTCAAAACAGTAGTATAAATATTAACTTCAAACTATATTTGGTCGTAGAAATTGAAAATGAAGAAAGCTCCTTGTCTCGGCCAACAAAATTGCTTCACATCAAGGATACAACCATGGACGACAACAAACTCTTGACTGTTCGGCGCCCACTCCACATGGTACACTGGTCCTTCTTTTTCTGAAAAAAACAAGCAAAAAGTTTGGGTATTGTATTATGGATTTTTAAGTTTTAGTAGAGGTTTTAGGGCGATCGGAACTGCATAAGGTCATGTGAGCGCCAAGGGGTGGATGTCAACAGACAAGACCTTACCGGGAATCGGGCTTACTCTGCTCACCTCTCAAGCCTCAACAGCACAAAGTCTGTTTCAACTTTCAAGGCACCCCGGAAATAGCGGGTCACAAGAGGGTGACAAACATACAAAAGAAGGAGAGGAAAAAATGACAATAGTAAGGATTAGGAATGAAAAAAGCAGCAGTTCCCTGATGTAGTTATGGTTAGGCACAGTTATGAGCATGACATTGTTGAATCAGCCCATTTAAAATTCTACAGCCCATTAGAACGAGAAATGTCCCCCCCCTTTGGGAATGGCCTAAAGACACTTCAGTCAGTGGCACCGCCAGAGAAAGTAGTAAAGAAAATCACATCAACAAAATAATTGTCATTCAGTGTGAGGAAAAAACAAGACTAATAAACAAAAACAAAATAAAAACCAAGAGAGAGAGAGAGGGAGGGAGGGAGAGAGGAGAGAGAGAGAGAGAGAGAGAGAGAGAGAGAGAGAGAGACAGAGAGAGAGAAAGAGAGAGAGAGAGAGAGAGAGAGAGAGAGTCAGAAGTAGGAGCAGCCAGCGACATCCTCCAACCATCAGCTGTTGAACAACTTACGCATAGGCACCAGACAGCTCTCTCCCTTGGTGCTGAGGAAGTGCAGACCTTGGTCACCGTAGTAGGAACTCTCCGAGCTTTCTGTAGAGGTCAACACGATGAGGCTCTGGCCTGGAAACAAGAAAAAGACAGCCGTGTTCTTGTTTTGGTTCTCAGTTTACTTTTAGTAAGAATTTTACAGCACTTGCAACACAATCAGGTCACATAGGTGCAGAAGATTTAAAGTTGTTACAAGAGAGTTTTTAGTTTTAGAAGAGGTTTTGCAGCGCTCACAACTGCATAAAGTCATATGAGCGCCAGAAGATCAGAGGTGTTACAAGAGAGTGAGAGTAACAAGCATAAAAAAGAAGAAGGGGAGATAAGGACGACAGATGTTTAATAGGAAAGAAGAAGCAAACCACATCAGAGCACCCGCCAACCACCCACAGGCAGTAGAAGTGATAATAAACATATGAATTAAACTAAAAACAGCAAGGACAATGGGAAGAGTACTTGAGTGTGTTCGAGTAAAGAGAAGACTTGAACAAAAGTAATTATCATTAGTTTAGTGTAGGAAAAAAGGAAGACAGACAGACAAAACAACATCTAATTTCTAAAAAACAAACAGCAACAACAAATAAAAAAACAAAACCAAACAAACATAGAAATCCAAACAACCCCCCCCCCCCCTAATAATAATAATAATAAATAGCATTTATATAGCGCATGTCCCCATTCGAAAGTAAACGTTATTATTATCCCAGCAGACCATAGAACACTCAGAAACATTCTCAGCTTCCCAGGAAGCATACAGTGCAAGCAGCAGGTTAAGCGCTCAAACACTAACAAACTGACAAGATCTGTCACATACCTGGTTTGTTCCAGTAAAAGTGGACTCTGTCAGCTTTGAAGAAGCTCTTGTTCGCCAGGGTGGACTGCATGCCAGCAAAGTTGGGATAGCGGTACAGTCTCACGAAGGATGGCTGGCCCTGCGGCATTTTAAAATATCATTAAGTGTATTTTTTCACAACAGTCAGAAGCTTCAAAAGCACTTGAGGAAAAGCATCTCGTGAGACTTTAATACTCTGAATTAGTACAACGATATCATCACACTGAAAAAGCAGACCCAGAAGCTATACATCATAACAACAGTATACAGAATATAATATGACAAAAAGAGGCAAAAATGCCACAAGTATCTTAACCCTATCCGTACATCGTGTTTTACTACCGTATCCATATGACGTGGGGAACTCTGTGCCACCACTTTCCAAAGAGGAAATTTACTTGTTATTCCGATCCGTACGCTTTACATAGCAGTTTGCCAAAATAATTTTTTGATAAATACTGAAAGTTTCAAAGAGATCTTCATACTAAAAGTATTCTAAAATGTAAAGAATACAACCCCGGGAGTACAAAATGACCCCAGGGCGTACGGATAGGGTTAAACATTTTTCTTTTGCTGTGAAAAAGCAACCCCCAAAAAAATTTTTTTAAAATAAAAATAACTAAAAACCAGACTTGGGTGAGCATCCTTTCTGTTTTATTAAGAATTTGAAAAGACATGACACTAAAAATCGGAGAACAATTCTTATTTACCTTAGTCCCTGGCACATACGCAGCGACAGCACACGGGGAAGAACTTTGAGCCAAACCAAACGAGGACACTTTCTGCAGGTGGAGTTTGTTAGCAATAGTATCTGGGGAGAAACAGGAAGAGGTGTTTGTTTACCTGTAGACTCAATTCCATCAAATCAAAACAGAAACATTTGTTTCATTTAAAAACAACATTTAAGAATTTCAATAAATAAAACAAAACATTGATACAAAACTATAAACTTAAGTTTTTATATGCTAAATAAAGAAAATAGTTTAACTTAAAAGCTTCACAAACAAAGGTAAAGATAATATTTTTAACATAGCAAGAAAAACACCTTGTAAAATACATAGATTCCGGAAGAATTTTTAAAAAGTAAATAAATCTGATGATAAACTGCACAAGCTGACTGAAACAACTGGTAGAAGACAAAGATCGAGCACAAAAGTATTTCTAAAACAATTCAACAATCTTATTCAAACATCACCAACAAACCTACCAAAGTCGTTGTTTTCGTAGAACTGCAACTCATTGTTAACATTCCTCACACAAATCTTCTCATCAGTGCTCCACTCCGGATCCCTGTGGAGAGTGGAAGAAATCTCAACTAGAAAATGAAATCTTCTGTGAATATTTTTTTTACCTTAAAGTTGAAGGAAAGTATCTCACTATTGTGCTTATACATATTAAGAGCAAGAAGGTACACAGGAGAAATCCAAACCGCACCAGTCACTACACAATTTTCAGCACAATGAAAAAGTTCCAACATGAATCTGCAAGTCACAGAATAAATTTGACAATAAGTATACAAGAGAAGATTTTGAGAAGAAGTTACCAGCACTGAAGGCAACTCATTTCGTGGTCCATACAAGTGCACTACTGGCTCTACCCCTTCAGTTTCTATAAAAAAACAAGCTTTCTCTATAACCAAACAAATATACACACCAATGAAACCAAACTTCTCCTATAGGTAGGGCAATGCTCACTTTTGGTGTAGGTCAAGATTTCTGGAAACCCCCGAAATCTGGGTTAGCCCGCTTGTCCATAAAAGCGTCCATTTCTTCTGATTCACTATTTTTAAAATATTCTCCTCTGGTCATCATCCAACATTGACAGTGGAATTATCTATATCATTACTCTTTTCTGTGTGAAACTTTCAGATCATCTGGCATGGTCAAATCTCTTAGACCCACGAGTGTAAGAGAGGGCAAACTCTGGGTGGAGTCATTGAAACAATAATTTGGCACGTTGGGCACAGGTAAATCTGCCCCAACTGATTCTTATATCGGCTCAAACCATTGCTTAAATAAATCTGCTTTAACTGTTGCGTAATACTAAGTTTTATGGAAAGCGAGGCAGAGGCAGACAGAGGGAAAAGATACTGGACAAGATGACAACATGGTTAGGAGCAGCAAGAACAACAGACACCATTGCTGCAACGCAAGACAGAGTGAAGTGGAGGTCCATGATCGTCCACGCCAGTCGGCAAGGCACCGGATGACGATGATGAATTTTATTACAACTATAACTTAAATAGGCCACAAACCAGTTGATCTGTTTCTTCTGCATGAGAGCTTTCTTCAGGGTTCCCGACTTGACGTCGTACAAACGCAGGTTGGGGCTTCCCTGTGCGTTGTCTCGGGTCACTGATGGGAAACAAACAATTGGATTGTTCACACTCAATTAAAAACTCATAACACTCTCCCCCCCCCCTCTGTATCTTCGCTCTCTCCGACCCTCCCTGACACACACTCTCTCTGTATCTTCGCTCTCTCCGACCCTCTCTGACACACACACTCTCTGTATCTTTGCTCTCTCCGACCCTCTCTGACACACACACTCTCTGTATCTTCACTCTCTCCAACACTCTCTGACACACACACTCTCTGTATCTTCAATCTCTCCGACCCTCTCTGACACACACATACACTCTGTATCTTCACTCTCTCCAACACTCTCTGTATCTTCGCTCTCTCCAATGCTCTCTGACCTGCATAGTTATTCCACGTCGCCAACACCGTGCCTTTGGGCGAGAACTTCATGGCCACCACTTTCGGGAGACCCAAGTCATGCACGACTTCCATGGTTCTGGTATCCAGAATGAACGCGCTGGGGAAAAAAAACAAACAGACAAGAAGGGTGAGGAGTTGTGGAAAAAGAAAAAAAATGTTCACATTCAATTAAAACTCCATAAACTTCCAAAATTTCCATACAGACTAAAATAGAGCTGAGTGTTATTTTGGGCTAACTCCAATTTGAGAATTTTGGGAGTTTTTGTCACAGCTGTCAAGGCTGATGAAAAATCTTCTCTTTGAGGCCAACTATTATTACCGTTAATAGTGCCCGTGTTTTGTGGAAATTCAGTTGAATTATGTGCCAACTATCAATTTCACGACTGTTACTTAGTACTTTCAAAAAAGGGGAAATGGTATGGGTTTAACGCCCCTATTAATACTGTCAAGATTATTTAAGAGGCAGAACCTACGCGTTTAAAGTCTATCTCTGAAAGGAACAAGCCAAGTTTGGAAATTCATTTAAGTGTCTTTCCCATAGACAACGTCAGACCGAAATGAGGCTCGAACCCACAATCATACGATTAAGAGGCCGGTAGTAGCCTAACCACTTGGCTACGGACGCCACGCAAAGCATTCTCCTTCATGAGAATGGAAATTTTTAAACAAAGTAATACATGCACTTTCATTGGTTATTCTTCAATTAAATTATAATACCACTCGATGACAAAGACAAAAAGTAATTCTTTTGGTATTTTTTTTCATTTATATAACAAAAACTTTTCTGAAGAACACTATAATTATAGATTAGATAAATTCTAGACCTCATCAGTCATCATAAGTGCCAGATCTGAAGCAGAAATCATCTAGATCTCAGCTTATTACTTATTATACTTAACTACTCATATTTCCTTCCAGTAAAGAATCATGATGACTTTAAATGGACGTTAGCCTTGGGGGGAAAGTGGGGAGCCAAAAAACTCCCATCGAGAGAAATTCCTCATAAAAAGGAATGCATTTAATTTTGTCTTCACAATAAATATGACCAAGCTAAACCGAACCCATTTGGACTTGCTCTATTTTGACGAGACAAGCAGTTCCATTTCTTGCTGTTTTGGATTACACTATCTAATGCACGGGAAGTTCAACGGACTCGGAAATCCCCCACGGTCTCAGAAAAAACTCAAAACTACTGCTACACGGGCCGTTATGTCAAACAGACGTGACGCAGACACGGAAATATGGCAATGCTTTCCAACACGGGCGAACATTTGTAGTTCTCTCCCTTCCTTCATTTCTGTCTTTTAAACAAACGAAAAAAAATGTTTTTCGTACGATGGGTGTGTGTGGTGTGTGTGTGTGTGGGGGGGGGGGGGGGTAAGTGAACGTCGTGGTATGTGACATACATCATCACTTTACGCGGATATTTTGTTTCCGGAGCAAAACTTTCCTACGAGTTAAAAAGAAAACAACCTACGATGACATCATCACTTTGTATGCATGGCTATTGAATTGGATAGTTCGTTTCTTTCGCTTTGTCATTCCATACAATGAGTAAATGTCTTTCGCTTTGCCAGCTATTTGTTATAAATTCCAGCGGAGTCAGAAATCACTCAAGAAACCGACCAGGTGTTCTTCCAAAAGTTACCAGTTTCCGGCAGAGACAGAATCAAAACGAGCGTTTTTCTCCCAAGACCTCCCTATCTTCATCTCGACCTTTTTTTTTTTTTTTTTTGGTAAGTGTTTTACGGCGCTCGCAACTGCATAAGGTCATATGAGTGTACGGGACACAGTAAACATTTTCAGTTGGAAGGAAATTTTAAATTTTGCCCGGGTGGCGGCTGAAGCCTACTCTCATCAATTTTGGACCAATAAAGGGACCTTTAACATGCGCAACTTGCACACGAGACCTCGACGTTTTTTTACGCCATTGTCAGAGAAGGCTAGGTGTAGATCTTTCCTACCATACGATTAGGGGTGTGACTGAAAGACAGCAGTAAGAAGGAGCCAAGGAGTCGCAGTAGAAAGGCTGCAGAAAGAGTCAGGAGCCCAGAGGAGGGGCAAAGGAGGTGAGGGGTGGGGGCAGAAAGTGGACACGAAAGCAGTTGATTCCCACAAAAACAATTTTTAACAGTAAATAAAAGCAACCAGGGCCTAGGTACATGAAACATTTTCTTCAAACCTTTTCTTCACAACAAAAAAGCTTACAATCACAAGCATGGCAACAAAGAGGTTTTCAGAGTTTTTTGTTTTGTTTTTGGAACCACAAAGAAAGACAAAAACTGAGAAAAAAATGGCACCAAAGTTTCTCAGTAAGAAACAACACAACAGAGAGGGAGAGTGAGAGAGATAGAGAGAGAAAGGGGGGGAGAGAGAGAGAGAAAAGAGAGAGAGAGAGAGAGGGGGGGAGAGAGAAAGGGAGAAAGAGAGAGAGAGAGAAACGGAGAAAGAGAGAGAAAGGGAGAAAAAGAGAGAGAGAGAGAGAGAGAGAAAGGGAGAAAAAAAAGAGAGAGAGAGAGAGAGAAAGAGAGAACTAAAAAATTCTTCTTTTCTAACAGCTGCAAAAACCTTCAGCTTTGTAAATACACAATTTTGATCAATGAAAAACCCAATGCCCCCAGCTGAAGATATAAAATATAACTAAACTTTGGCGGTTATTCCTCACTAATTATACGTCTGAAACCAGGCAATCCCACCTCCTTCAATTGTCAATATCTGGACTTGTGTCCAAGATAGATGGGTATTTTTTTCCATCCAAAGCAAGACAACTGAACAAGCTTTACTTTAAGATGCTATCAATAACTCCACAGGCCCAAATATTGAGGAGCGCCTGATTCCACCACGCTGTGACACATTTGTGAAGCGGGCTGACAAAATGAGTTACTTCTCGAATTTGAGCCCGACGGAAATGGATGAGTCAAATTGATAGGTTGAGTTTTCTACAATTTATTAGTAGGAAATTATTAAAGACGTGTTAAACCTGAAGAGAATGGCATTGGTTTAGAATTTACAAATATGACCCTGGTGTCAATTTTTGGCTAATATCTCCATCTTTGATTGCGAGAAGCAACTAATTTTGTCAGTACGCCTCACATTTGATTAATAAAAAACTTCCCAACAAGCACATCAACCTAACGCCTTCTGCATGCTTCTTTCACCAGCTTCATAGCACAAAACCACCCTAGCAAGCTCGCTAAGCTGCTGTTAGTAAACCCTACTTTTCTCTAGTGTCATACTATTTTTGTTTTAGTTTTATTAGAGGTTTTACGGCGCTCGCAACCGCATAAGGTCATATGAGCGCCAAGGGGTGGATGTCAACAGAGAAGTCCTTACTTATACTATTTTAAGGCAAGGAAGTGTCTACATGGTGAAAACAAAGTTTTGAAAAAAAAAACAACAACCCCAAAACCATTGCCGATTCTCAAGTTTGATTGACACAACTCTCTTCTTTGAAACTGGTATTATTAACTTCATTGTGCTTGATTTTCCGAGGGTACTCACTATATCCAAAACATGTACCCCTCAATCAACATCTTAACTGAAGTGGAGTAAAGCAGTCCGCTGCCTGACACTATGTGACTACCCCTCAGAGACAGAGAAACACCATCTGTTCTTCTGTAGAAAACTAACTGATTTAAGGGGATGTTTTCTTCCCAAGCTACCCCACACATTAACTGCCTCTACTCCTCAAGACAACAATTAGAACAGACATGCAGCTATTACAGAATGGCATCATGCAGAAGAGTCAATGCTCAGATGCTACTGGATCGCTAACAACAACAACATCCATTGTTTTCTTCTTGAATAATTCCATTCAATAACAACTGTAGTGAGAAATAGATTGGCTGCACTCTCATTGCTATACCAACAACAACAGCAACCGGCGGTGGCATCTGTTCGGGGGGGAATCAGGGAGGTTGGACTGCCTCACCCGCTACCCAAGGGAGGCGGTGGCCCTGGCGAAGAGCACGCTCTTCGAGGCTCCAAATATTTCGAACGGATAGGCTACCACACACACACAACAGCAACCAAAGACCCCTCCCTTTGTCATTCATGTGGTAGTAGAGGAAAAAAATCAAGGATGTCAGAAAAATCTGAAAAATCCCAGCGACTGCTCAACCACAAAGTCTCCCCCTCCCCCCCCCCCCATCCATACACACAAAAATGCAAGATAAAAAGGACAAAAGTGGCAAATTATTCACCACTTCATAGACAAACAAGAAGTAAATTTTACCAACATCTATACCACTTACGTGATACAATGATTTAGTTTTTAGTTTTAGTAAGAGTTTTACGGCACTTGCAACACAATAAGGTCATATAAGTGCCGAAGATTAGAGGTGTAACAAGAGAGTAACAAACACAAAAAAGAAGGAGGAGAGATAAGGATGATAGATGTTTGATAGGAAAGAAGAAGCAGACCAGACCAGAGCACCCTCCAACCAACCACTACAATGATTCGGTCGAGGTCGTTTTCACATGGTTTATAGACTGAAAACACTCAAATCTTTCACAACTTGAACATAATAGATCACTATTTGTTGAAACTACGTCTTTCACTCTTTATGGAGAACTCCTTGCAGAAATGAGTAATTTCAAGTACCTTGGCAGCATTATATCCAAAACTGCAGACTGCCTTGACGACATCCACCAAAGACTTAAAAATGCATGGACCGCTTTTGTGAAATTAAAAAACTATATGGAAGTCAAAGATCATTTCATTGAAGACGAAATTAAAAATATATGATTGCAATATTTTGGCTGTATTGACGTATGGTTCAGAAATATGGAAAACAAACAAAACAATTCAATGAAAATTAAAAAGAAGAATTTCACTAATAAAAAGGAATGAATTTATTACAAATAATGGAGTGTTAGAAAGAGCTGAAATTGAAGATATCAACACAACAAAAAAAAAGAAGATGGAGATATCTAGGACACGTTCTGCGAATGCCGAAGACGAGATTGCCCTATCAGACATGGCATTCAAAACCAACTGGAAAGAGAAAGCAAGGAAGACCAACTGGAAGCTATAGAGGCACAAAAGAGATGAGGCAATCACCAAGGGCCTGGAGGGGCCGAAATTGGAGAAAGAGGCGAGGGACACACTAGCATGGCGGCGTCGACTGCTCTCCGCCTTATGTCTGGCGGTATAGGGAGAGAGTAAGTAAGTATTTAATGGGGGAGATCTTGCAGTAAATATCACAAGAATAACAGAATCAGGCTCTAGAGTTTATAGAAATATTTTTAAGGTGAGACGGTTCTTTTTTGAAGCAGAAGACAAGCAGAGAAAGGACATCGGTCATGCAACAATTATGAGAGAGAGAGAGTGAGTAAGTATTTGATGGGGGGGAATCTTACATTAAATCATCACAACAGAATCAGGCTCTAAAGTTTCTAGAAATATTTTTAAGGTGAGACAGTTCAGAAAGGACATCTGTCATGCAACAATCACGAGACATTATACGTGGTAAAAAAAAAAAGTTAGAGCACATGCGAGTGGTGGTAAGTGATCTGGACCAACCTGTCAGCGTTGCACCAAGCAAAGAGAGAGCCATCGTCTGAGAAGACCATACACTTGCACGAGTTGCTCGGGTCACTGTGAACACAAACAGGGAAACGTTGTTTTAGTTTTAGTAGACGTTTTACAGCGCTTGCAACTGCATAAGGTCATATGAGCGCCAGAAGATTAGAGCTGTTACAAGAGAGTAACAAACATTAAAAAGAAGAAGGGGGAGATAAGGACGATAGATGTTTGATAGGAAAGAAGAAGCAAACAACATCAGAGCACCCGCCAACCACCTACACATTTCTAAACGGAAACTTTCCACCGAGCTGCATCTGGATCAGACTGACCGAACACGCACCTTGATGTAGTTGGCCACGATGGAGACGTTCTTGAAGTCGAGAGCGGCGTCGATCTGGTCCATGAAGGACGGGAGATGAGGATGATAGATGTTTGATAGGAAAGAAGAAGCAAACCACACCAGAGCACCCGCCAACCACCCACGGAAAACGTTGGGTTAAGCCACATGGCATAATGATTGAAATCATATTCCTCATGACTGCATTCAGTGGAAAGATGCTACTTCCAAGATATATTAAAGCAGTATTTTCTGTTTCTTCAAAGAAAAATGCGCCTTGGAAATCTTTGTGCGACTTAAAATAAAATATCTTTATATATATATATAAAACATTCTCCTACTTTCTACCCTCCTTGTAGGTAAATTGTGCAAGGTTCCAAGGTTTGTACTTCAACAATATTCAAAGTCATTGCATTTCTAAGTGTGGTAAGTATCATGGTTCTCGAAACTGCATAAGGTTATTATGAGTGTGCAAGACTCAATTTGGTTCCTTTCACGTTAGTTTACAGCACGCCAGAAGATTGACCTGCTCATTTTCCCCCTGATGCCTAGGTGATATGGCGAGGTAGCCATGTAAACACATAAATATGCTTTCTCTGGTCAGTCAATGTGTGAACTTTTACAGTAATTTAACTACTTTAGGCAGGATAATTTAAGAGTATGAAATTGGCGAGTGAAGTTCGGCAAGATAATGAATTGGACAGGTAAACCAAGAGCTAGCAGCTTTGTGTAAACTTACATCTGTGCTGTGGCATCTGCACTGAATTTGGCACCATCTATAGTCCACAGGCCTTGGGCACCTCTCACTGCGGGAAAGAGGAGGAAATCAGGAAAATGAAGCTCTTTGATAAGATGAACAAAGTGGTACCTGATACTATTTTTGAATTGAATTGGTTCAACATGAACACAACATATATATATATATATAGAGAGAGAGAGAGAGAAAGGGAGAGAGAGAGAGAGAGAGAGAGAGAGAGAGAGAGAGAGAGAGAGAGAGAGACAGAGAGACAGAGAGAGAGAGAGAGAGAGAGAGAGAGAGAGAGAGAGAACAGCTGAACCAGGCGAATCTTCCATTCTTGGTGATTTTATTAGCCTGCGAGAGGTCAGAGGGGAGTCCTCGCCTCATAATCCCACACTGGGGTGGGAGGGAAAATAACGGGTCATGAGCTATTCTCACCTGGGGAGAGAATATAGAGGTGGTCATATCTTAATTTCAGAGCTTAAAAAAATAAGTTTTTTGCTTCTCCTGAAAAGTTTGTCTCTTGGCACTTAGGCGGTTGAATCACGAGGCTAGCGATAAATTTCCATGGACCATGGAGTTAGGCCGGGAACACTTCTCCCGAAGTCAAAGAGACAAGCGGATAGCTAGAGAACGACAACTAAACGCCAATGGCCAATTTTTATAGTAACAGCCATCTTGTTTGACGTCAATATAAGGGATTCCCACTTTGTCAGTCATGGTGGCAACACAACCGCACGAAGGCAGCCAGCTGACTCGGTTTATTTTCTTTGCAACTTGCAAAACTGTTCGGTTCGGATGTCTGTGATTGTGCAGCACCCTTTTCCCGCCCAGATTGATTCTGATGCTGTACACTACATAAACTGAGAAGAAGAAAGAAAAAGACTTAGAGTCTAAGAGTAGGCCTACATACAAAAGCAAGTTCAAACAAAATTCAACAACGCAGTGCAAATGATCGACCGTTTCGATCCGGATCGTTTCTTTTAAAGTTTTGTAAGCACAAGAAATTAAACACTTACAAGAGATTGGACTCAATATGACACTGAGCTGCAAATAGAGTAGATCTAATTCAAGACTGCAAGGTTTGCAAATGGATACTGTGAGGTGCAAAAGCAGTAGGCCTACTAGATACTAGGAGGGAACCACTAGGAAAGACTCAAAGAGGGAAGCTTGGAAACTGCCTGTGTAAACCTTGTGCTACGCAAAATCATCACTAGGCCTATAGAATCACGATCAGATGACGTGGCGGCAAGGTCAAACAAGATGGCTGTCACTATAAATATCGGCCAATGGCATTTATTTGTCTTTCTCTAGCTATCCGCCTGTGGGTAAGATGGAAGAATACCGGACCAGCGAATTAGGACTACTTTTGCCTATATATGTCTCGACAACCTTAGGAATTCATGATTTTCCTCAGTTTTTAATCTCTCTCAATGAAGACTCTCGGACCGGTAGCCTAAATCTATTCATTAAAAGTTCGAAGTGACTGTTTCTCAGACCGCTCGGGAAAATAAACCTGATCTCTATTTCGCCGAACGGTGTCCGTTCTCGAGATTTTTTTTTTATTTGCGAGACTTCCGCGTCATCTTTCATTCTGCCATTCTGTGAAGACTGGGAAGAAGCATTTTTTGCATCGAATTCAATTTCTAGAGCTGGACATTTTTAGATGTCTAAATATTCAGATACTTCAATTATGGTTGGGGCAACGTACCCGGACTAAACTTAATTTGAAAATACCTTCAAAAGGTACTGCGAGAAAACAGGACTGCTTGACTTTGGCAGAACCTATTGCATTTAGTCACCCCTAAAAAGCAAAGACTAAAAAAAAAAATCCCTCCACGCCCCCACCACTCCTGTTCACACCTTACACACACATCCAAGCATGCACACTGACATACACACACAGACGTGGGCCACTCCATAGCCAAATAACCAAAAAATCTCGAGAACGGAAACCGTTCAGATAGTTCACGTTTATTTTCCCCAGCATTCTGAGAAATAGAACCGGCCTTAAAAGTTTATCAGGCCCCCCGCCCCCCTTGACACCCCCCCCCCCTCCCCATTCTCGTGCAATAATACGAATACGAGCAGCCCAGTATTCTTCAATCTTCCCCTGCTTGTGTCGAAGAGTGCGCCCTACTCCCTACCCCAGCCCTCTCTATTGAGACTATTCTTCTACTCTGTCTCATAGTGGTCGCTTGTTACGAAAGTCCTCCCTCACTATCTATTATTATAATCAGTGTCAGTGATCAGTGGGTAGCCCCTATTATTACTATGACATAATACTATTATAATCTATATCTACGATCTCTAGATCTAGATTCTAGCAGTAGCAACCTCTCTATATTTATTTATAAACAAAAACCGGTATCCTCTGCTGGGCCAGGTCAGGGTTCCAGACATTCATTCTTGATCTCTAGATCTAGACTCACTCCAAGATCTGTTAAATAACGAGACATCGGACATTGAAAGTTCAGTTTAGTGCTGCTAGGCTAGCTGAACAAAAAAGCAAACAATGAAAATAACAACACAAACAACAATACCAACAACGACATGTGGTATACACTCACGGTATATGGGAGACGCCATGATTGTAGACAACGAGAGTGATTTTCCTGTCCACATGAAGTAAATGAATGAATAATGAAACTAGGGTTGCCAGAGGCTAAAAAACGTTCTATGCCAAACTGGTCGAATTGAAAATAAATCGGATTAATTGGGTACTTTTTCTTATATATCTATTCAGCTGTCCCAGAAACTGTTGGTCTTTTCCTGATAGTTTTTATCTGTGAGCGTCCCACGTTGTCTTCAAGTACTTCTTCATGTCATGTGATTTATTTTCCTTCCAAGATATTTCTATTCCTAAAAATATCCAGATTGCTGTTGCCTCTATTTCATTTTCAAAGTGATTGCCCAACATTCACAGCCAAAATAGAAGGGTTGACCATGTACACAGCATTTCAGGACTTCTATTTTGGTAGTCATTGAGATGTTTCTATTTTTCATAATTTGGCTAATTTTATTGAAACTATATCTTTAGCCATTGCAATTCTTCGTTTTAATCCTGTGGAGCATTTGTCATTAGACGTTGTTGCTATTTATCGGATGCCTTTACTGACTCCCCTGGCTGGGTGTGGTGGGTTAGTTAAGTTTAAGTAGTAATTTTAGTTTGTTGTTGTTGTGTTGTTGTTGTTGTTGTTGTTATTGTTGTTGTTGTTAATGTACATGTACGTGTCCTTCGAAATAATGAATCCCGAAATTGGACAGTCCAAATTTTGACTAAACTATTCATTTTCCCGCTGGGGGTTGGAAAGGAAGGTAGGATTTTGAGTGTGTACGTGTGTGGGGAGGGAGGGGGGGGGGGGGTAAATTAAAAAAAGGGTGGGGGGGTATAGCTAGCAATCCATGTTCTTAAAACGTTTTTCCCAATAAAAAAAAAGGTAAAAGTAAATTTAATGCTAGGATTTCAATCAAATTGTTATTGTTGAGGGGAAGTTAGTCTGTCTTATATTCGATTTAATTAAGATGGCCGAGCTAGGCAATCGGGATTTGAACACCCACCCCCATACTCTTCGGTCGCGACCTCTTTCCCTGAGTAAATAAATGTTTCATATTTAAATTAAAGAAATTGTCAGTTGAAACCTATACGTTCTTATACGATCTCTGACCGTCTAGGTTGAAACCGTTAAGACCTAGGCGATCATAAATCAGGCAGCGCAGCCCAAGCCCAAGAACTACACACCTTGCTTGTGGGCTGACACACCGGCCGCTCAGGCTTCGGCCCACAGCAAGCAGTGACCTTCGTAATGATAATAATGATTACAACGGCCACGGCTAGGCGGTCTTTCTCCCTCCCTCTCTCTCTCTCTCTCTCTCTCTCTCTCTCTCTCTCTCAATCTCTCCCTCCTTTCTCTCTCTCTCTCTCTCTCTCTCTCTCTCTCTCTCTCTCTCTCCCTCCCTCTCTCCCTCTCTCCCTCTCAATCTCTCCCCCCCCCTCTCTCTCTCTCTCTCTCCCCCCCCTCTCTCTCTGTCCCCCTCCCCCTCTCTCTCTCTCTCTCTCTCTCTCTCTCTCTCTCTCTCTCTCTCTCTCTCTCTCTCTCTCTCTCAATGGTTTAGCTTCCCTGTGTTTGTGTTCAAACTAACGGACATGTAAAAAATTATTCTAGACAGACAAAAGCGATGGAAAGACAGAAAGTTGACTTGAGTTGAGTTAGAGTTTTACGGAAATGGAGGGCACACACTGATATATTTTGACACCTTTTCATAGGATAAAATGTTTGGTAAGCTAGCAGTCCATGCCCGACATTCTGTTTCATCCGAAGGAAATCCATACAAGGTCACTTTTTCTGCACCTTTCTGACTGTCATAGCCAGTTTTGCATCCACCAACTGAGCATTTTCTTCCCATTGTTGTTCTTATTCCTTCAGTTTATTTTGAAGGTGTCAGTCACAGTCCAACAGAGTCATAACCACACATGATGAAAGCAATAAATAGGCCTAGAAGAGAAGCATGTAAGCACTGTGAAAGAACAGCAGATATTAAACAAAGCAGGTCGGGAGAAACACAAAGGAGCTCCCCCATAATTATGATCCGTATACTTTTCCCTACCTAACAAGGGTGGGCCCCTAGACACTCAGAGTCTAGATATATAGATTTATATCTACATGGTCCTTTTAGTCTATTGTTTGTGTTACAAACTAATCTAAATCTAAAAGCAGATCTAGGGATAGGATGGAGAGTTCGTTTTTAGTGGTTGTTTGCATAGAGAGGCTCTAAGTCAGTGAAGAGTGTGCGGATCAGAAGGGGGGGCCTCCACTGTGTAGACATGGATTTTAGAATGGATTTAGACAGATATGAATTAAACGTGCACGGTCAAAACTTCACTGTAGGTTTAATCTAAACACGTACACTGATGGAAGAGATATTTGATATTCACACAATCCAGATGATTTGGGGAAAAAAAAACTGCATTAGGCCTCAACTAAAAGAATCCAGGCATTCACTGAGTACGATGGCGATGAAGAATCTGAAAATGAACAGTAGGCCTACAGTGCAGCCAAACAGCACTTCAAATTTGCGATCTCAAGACTGTTGGTCAATCTTAATTAATTAATTAATTAGTCACCACTTCTGTTCCTCAACACACACAATGATGTAGAAAATATTCACATAATCCAGATGACTTGAAAAGCAAACTGCATTAGGCAGAAATAATCCAGTGTCAAAGCATGAGAAAACAACAATTCAAACTGACCGCCGCACCCTGCGTAGGCTTATCACTACTAATGATCTACAAGGTTGTGGGCTTACTACACGGGTGTGTCAGCCCACAAGGAATCTAGGTCAGTAGCGCGCAGGTGGCCTGATTATATGACCGTCTAGGTTAAGACTGCTTTAGAATCAACCGCTTTGGGTTACTAGCACTGAGGATAATGTGCATTACATTATGTTTCAGGACCCAAAAGTGGATCAGAAAGTACAGGGTGGTTCTTACAACAACAAAGACCGTGCCATTTTTGTACTAGAATGTATTTTGGAAAAGATATAATTCATTCAAAAGGAATTTGTTCGACATGAAATTCACAAAGAAGAAACTTATTTTCGAAAACGGAAATGGTTTTTGTTTTTTTAAAAACCCACCTATAATGCAAAATGCACCAATTTAGGCTAAAAGATCTTGTAAGGAAAGTCATGAAATGATTGGCTGTTTTTTTTTAACTTTATTTTTATTTTTAAAATCTAATATTTCCACCCCTGTAACATTTTAACACTTAATTTCTTTTCTCCTACAGTTTTTTTTTTTAAATTATGAAATTCTGAGAACCAATGGTCTTATATTATTATGTATATGAACTCCTTTAGACTCGACACATTTTTAACACTTTAACATGTCGGATCATTCGTAGTTTTCACTGGTGGCCAAACACAAGGATCCAGCCACACCCACTACTGTTCACCTTATTTTTGATTTTTTGATTGAGTAGGTGTTTTACGGCACTATCGACAAAATTCTGGTCATTTAAGCGCCCACAGGTTTCACCTTACAGTATGGAGCTGTTTATAGTATAGCGACAATAGGGAGGGTGAGGTTGCCCAAATAGACAACTTTTGTGGAGTTGATACAACCTGAAAAGTGAATATGGGCTTTGCCAAGGAACCAAATGTCAAAGAGTAAATGTTCACGCTTTTCAAGATGATTGAGGAATTATGAACACATTGTTATCCTCTGATAACTTCGCGAACGGGAAAATGGTACAGTTGTAGATTAGGATCTGCCTTGAGAATGCGGACCGTTGAGATGTAGGAAAGTCATTGCTGCAGATACATCGTCTGCTTACATAGAGGGCTCATCTACTCAATTCTGCACCCTGGTGACGTTTAAAGGGGTGCGAACTGTGTTTGTTTTTCCTTTTGACTTCCAAATGTTGTGTACAAAATTTGAAACGCCAAACTTTTAGTGTTGAGATAAAAATTAACATAAAAAGTTGTACATGTACAGGTCTTTCTGGATCTCATGTTATTTTTGTTAATTGATTTGTTTGATTTTTAAAAAAATAATATTTAAAAAAAAAATTTGGGGGGGGGGGGAGGGGGGGATGAGTGTTAGAAGGAGTCGTTGGAGATTTGGGGGAACGGACTAAGGAGCCCAACTTGTTTGGGGATTGGGAAAAATTGATTGATTGATTGAGTAGATGTTTTACGGCACTATTCGACTCAATGACTCAATTTGGTCATGTAAGTGCCAACAGGTTTTACTGCAACAAATCTATCATCATGTCATGTTTTAGTAAGAGTTTTTTGGCAATTGGGAGAAAGAAAACAATTTTTTTTTCTGGTTTAGAAGGACCGTCACTGGGGAAGCTGGCTACACCAATCTGTTGAAAGTGCAAATGGTTGGAGGATGCCACGGGTAGGCCTTTCCTTTTTTCTTTCCCTCTGTTGTTTCTGTCTTGTTCTACTTTTTCCCTGCACTATAAATGACCATAAAATGGTCGCTTTTAAGCACAAGGGGGCTATCCCGAAAAATGCTGTTTTGAGAAAATCGAAAGTAAAGTTTTTGCCCCTTATTCAGTCTCTATAAAAGACATGGAGACTTTTCTCTTTATCCAAACAAATAGATCTATACACACCAATGAAACCAAACTTCTCCTACAGGTAGGGCAATACCCACTTTGGGTGTAGGTCAAGATTTATGGAAAACCCTGGAAATCTGGGTTAGCCCGCTTTGTCCTTAAAAGCGACCACTTGTAAGCTTTGTTTGTTTTTGCTTTTTGCTGTTTGTTCGTTTGTTTCTTTGTTTTTTGTTTTGTTTTCACCTTTGTTTTGAAATCGTTTGTTTGTTTGTTGTCTTTTTTGTTGCTTTTTTTTCTTTGGGGGGGGGGGGGGGGGGGGGGGGACTTCGTTAGCTCAACTGACATCATGCTGGACTGCGAAAGGGTTCCAATCCAATACTGGATGTTCGTGAAACTCCGTTCGCTTTGTCATGTTGAGTTTTTGTTTCAAGACGTTTTGCTTAACCTATTTGGCTCGATTCTAGTCTATCTCAGTTTCTAAAAATAACCTAGGCTCGATCCTATCAGAGACGGACAGCCCCACCCCTCATCTCCTTTGGCCCCTCCTTTGGGCTCCTGACTCCTTCTGCAACCTTTCTATTGCTACTACTTCACATTGGCTTCTTCTTACTGCTGTCTTTCAGCCATACCCCTGGCCTTCTGGTAGGAAAGATCTACATCTAGCCTTCTCAGACAAGGGCCAAAAATCGCGGAGGTTCTGCGTGCAAGTTGCACACGTTAAAGATTTCTTGGTGGTCCAAAATCGATAAGAGTAGGCTCGGCCGCCACCCGGGCAAAATTCAAAATGTCCTACCGCGCGCTCATATTCATATGACCTTATGCAGTTGAGAGCGCTGTAAAACACTTACCAAAAAAAAAAAAAGGAGACGGACATTAAATGTGGAGGTCCCTCCTGTTAAATAGCTTGATATGGGTGTTAAACTCATACTTACTTAAAGTAAGTTAAAGCTACAGATAGCTTTTTGCTCGCCGATTTGACCAGTTGGCCAATGGCCTCAGTGATGATGTGTCAGTTGTACGGCATGTACATGTACATGTGTATACGTGCTTTGCCGTTGCATGCAGAAGAAGTAAGTTCGATTCCTTTTGGAGGCACATTTTTATCCAGTGTCACTTTCTTTTTGTTAAGAGTTTTACGGCGCTTGCAATTGCATAAGGTCACATGAACTCGCGGGACACATTAAACATTAATTAATTTTTAATTGGTAGGAAATTTTGAATTTTGTCCGGCTAGCGGGCGAAGCCTACTCTTATAGATATGGGACCACCAATGGATCTTTAACGTGCGCAACTTGCATTCTGGACCTCCGAGATGTTTTGCCTTTAGCCGAGAAGGCTAGGTGTAGATCCTTCCTACTATAAGATCAGGGGTGTGGCTGAAAGACAACAGTAAGACCGGTACTGCACTACAACATTTTAGTTGACCAACTCAACTGTTGAGTTGAGAGGACGAAGAAATGCGACCATTGGAAATCAGAAGAGCCTACCGCACCACCTCAACTCAATTTTTTTGTCATGAAAATTTGTGCCGAAGAACAAACTGACTTCAACCCAACTGTTGGCCATTTTTTAAATGCTAGTGAGAAAACAGAGTAGCCTCCCGCACTATGACAAGATAGTAAGATAGTTGAGTTGACACTGCTGACGACACGCAACACACTTGGTCTACATTAATTGACACGGAACGAAATTAGCGCATAGAATTCTGGTCTCGACTAAAACTAAAACTAAAAGAAACCATGGATGCTGATGCAAACTGGACAGAAAAACTGATATTTTGTATTGAAAGCAAGCCTCTTTTGTACAATAAATCTTTGAAAGACTATTCCAATAGAGATTTGAAAGAAATTGCGTGGAATGAAGTTGGTGAAAATGTCATTCCCGACTGGGAAGGTTTGTATGAAGAAACTAGGCCTATATTCTTTCTGAAATGTGTATCTTGGAAAGTAATCAGAGGTCCCATTGACTGCAGAAAAGAATAAAAACTTTCTTTGCTCATTCTGTAATATGCGAAAAACTTTTTGGGATGATCTCGAAGATCCTGATAAAGGCTATAAAACTGCATTTTGAGTAATCGCTGACTCACAATATAGCATGAACCCAAAACTTCTTTCAATTTTTTATTTTTCCGAATGGAAAATATCAAATCACAAACACAAGCAACCGCTGTCGCGTCCATGTTTGCAATGACAAAAAAAAAAGTACTACGATTGGACAAAATTGACTAACTGCTGAATCATGGTGAGGTAGGGCTCAGGGTACCTCCACTCGACAACCTAGTTTCAACTATTCAGTTCCTCAACTAAAACGTTGTAGTGCGGTACCGACCAAAGAAAGAGCCAAAGAGTAGCAGTAGAAAGGTTGCAGAAAGAGCGAGGAGTCGAGAGGGGAAAGGGGCAACGGAGGTAAGGGGGTGGGGGCAGAAAATGAAGACGAAATCAGACGACAGAACATTGGTTAGAGAGCAGAAAAGGAGGTGAAAGGAGACAATATTTTAGCTTTCAGGATTGGTAGGCCACGAGAGCCCCTCAGTGCCTCCCGTCTTTCTGGCTAGGCCCTAGTCTTCCTCCTTACTTTTCTAGTTTAAGTTTAGTAGAGGTTTTACGGCGCTCGCAACTGAGCGTCAGAAGATTAGAGCTGTCACAAGAGAGCAACAAACATAAAAAAGAAGAAGGGGAGATAAGGGCGATAGATGTCGGACAGGAAAGAAGAAGCAAACCACACCAGAGCACCCACCAACCACCCAATTGTCTTTCTCTTAGCCCAGGTCAACAGGCAAGGGGTACAGTGCTGTTTCAATTGCCATTATTTGGTTGCTTTTTTAAGCACAAGGGGGCTGTCCCGAAAAATGCTGTTCTGAGAAAATTGAAGGTAAAGTTTTGCCCCTTATTCAGTTTCTTTAAAAAAACAAGGACAATTTTCTCTATAACCAAACTTGTATACCAAATTTCTCCTAAAGGTAGGGCAATGCCCACTTTTGGTGTAGGTCAAGATTTCTGGAAACCCCCAAAATTCGGGTTAGCCCGCTTGTCCTTAAAAGCGACCATTTCTGCATCAATCATAGTTGCTTCATTTCTCTCCACAGGCTGTAGAGATCTCAC